TAAGATAGTTTCATTCCTAAGTAATTACAAATTGTATATAAAACTAATTTCCAGTAATCTTATAGAAATACGTTCTTAAATAACTTTTAGTAGTAACAATTATAATAGAATTAAATTTCTAAATATTTTTGTATAACAACTGCTTCAATTTATCGGAATTAAATTTCTAAATAGTATTCAGCAATGGCTACTCTGATGTATCATACTAAAATTCCTAAACAATTTTTAAGTATGATCACCTTCTCCTTCATTCTGTATCCGCGCGAAATTTAATTTCCAAAAGCAAATAAAAATAAGTAACTATAATTCAACCATCTCTCGTTTACACGGTGTCGAAGAACACGTTACGTATCCCAAGTATTCTCCTTAGCAAAGGCTGATGTAATGCTACTTTAAAACTCTTCAAAAGTTGAGCCTACACGATCCTCCGGAGTACACAATCCAAAGAGGATCTTGTACTTTATCACATACCCCTGGGATCCGCTTTCTGTTGCAATTAACTTAAACTTTAGTCTTTGATAGTTAATACCGTCTAAGGCTGCAGCTTGTGCGAGCTGTGACTTTTTGAAACGGTGTTTTAGGGCACAGGTGATATACCTGTGCGCCATTAAACTCCGATGAAAGCTACACGGAAACACTAAATGTCATTTTCATCGATTTAAAGACTCGGACCTTATATAGCGATACGTGAACTGAAAAGTATACGAATCTACGATCCGGTTGTCTGCGATTAATGTCATATATGTTCCTCGAGTGGCATTCAACGGTTTCCACTGTAAGGAAAAAAATAGGCCAATCGGATTGCTGGTCCGGGAACTCGAAACCAGATCTTTCATTTATTGTGCACTGCTTTATCAATTGAGCAATCCAGGCCATCGATAGATTTTTCTCTCCTTAAACCTAATATTCGAGTAGTCACTATATAGAGGAGGAGGAGTAGACGAATAAAGAAGGATGATCGTGGGTTGTTAACGACGTCTTTGATTTGAAATTAGATAAGGGAGAGTACATCTTTGGACAGATTTATCATTGACTATTATCTCTGATCTGATGTGGACGATGGATGAATCAATTAATAATAATCGATTGATCACTGTATAGAGGAAGAATAGACGTATAGGAAAGGATAATTGAGGGTTGTTAACGACGTCTTTGATTTGAAATTAGATAAGAGAGAGTACATCTTTGGACAGATTTATCATTAACTATTATCACTGACCTGATGTTGTTGATGGGTGAATCAATTAATAATAATCATATTGGTATGTCTGTGTACTCGAAATGAAAAGGTGGTAATTTTTAGTTCAATGGCGAGTATACGGGCAATGAAAAAAAGCTAGTGAAAGGATATATTAAAGAAGCAGAGAAGAGCAGATCATAAGCAGCAGAATGTACAAAAAGAATTTTTAATTCAGAAACGTTAAAATAGTTAAAATTATTACTTATATTATACATAACACGTGACACTTTCAACTAATTCTTTATTAAAAGACTTTTATCTAATTTCCAAGCATTTCAATAGTAATTTTCCTATTTACGTTACCCCATAACCAATCTTGTTGTACAAGGAAACCAATTTCAACAGAGAGATGATTATCCGATCCTACATTATATTAATTAAAAACAAAAAGAATAAGGATAAGACAGATATTTACACCAACACTGAAATTCTTTTCTCAGAATAGCAAATACCTAATTTTTCTTCCAGCATAAAAATATTCTTTGAATTGGGATCTAAGAGTCAGATGAAGAATAGTGAGAAAGTAAGTGAGAATAGACTTTAGATAATTAAATAACGTAATATTATTAATGAAAAAATTTGACTTAAGTTTAAGCATGAAGCGAATGTGGCGACGCAACGTCGAATAACGAAGGCAGTGAAGATGTAAAATCTAACCCAAGATTGTAATCGTGCGACTAATTATATAGAATCGAAATTATTCTTTAATCATTCTTTACATTGAATTCATTGTTGAACACAGACGGCATACGTATTAAAAAAGCCTCTACCCATCAATTTAAAAAACTTCAAATCCGCTATCGAATAATGTTTCATATCAATAGCAACGTCAGAGAGCTATTGTTTCTTCAAAATAGTCGAACTAAAATCAATGGGAAATGCAACATCGTACTGCAGTATTCCAGAATAAAATACGGAGAATTTTTTGAGAAGTAAAGTAAGTCTTTTGACGAGCAGCAGCCATCAATAACACGTCAAAATTGACTGTCTGAAGCAAAGTGAACAAGCTGTTTCGTCGGGTCTGCAAACATGCACAGCGCACGAATTAGGTACCTGTTTCACGGCAAGTGTGTTTAGTGTTGCTCTACCACGTAGGGATCGTTGTTTCTGAAATGACTTATTTCTTGCATAGCCAGGGAGCGTTGCCTGCAAATTCGACGAATTCCGCGAAACAGCGTTATCGGTAAGAAACCAGCAAAACCAATCTTCTCGCCAGCCTTGCAATACCTTATAAGCCAAGGCTCCTTCGCGCGCTCGCGCACGAGTATTACTAATTTTCTCTCTGTCTCATCGTACGAAGAACCGTGCGTTGACTTTCTTCATAACCGTACATACCAACGGCTCTTTTCATAGCTGCACGTGTTCAAGAAAAACCATCCGCCCCTGCCCACGTTTCTCTTCTGCATCCGCATAGAAAATCCATTGCTAATTTAATTCTGACAAGAGCAATAAACCTCGCTGCTATTTTGCTCGAAATAGCTCAGAAAATTGGCCGAACTTTCGTTTTTATTTATAGACGACCGTTTTATAACTCGGAAGATTGGTCGACTTTTTTATGTCTATGGTGAGTATGAAAGTAGAAGAAAAATTGGAGAGGATAATTCGCAACTATTAAGAACGATTAAAATATTCAAGTTATCGAATAACTTTAACGATACTCTTTTAAATAAAAATATGTAACATTGCTACATTTGTTTTATATTTGCTTGCCTATTTTTCTATAGTGTTTGATATATAATCATGGAAATTTGCAAAGTATGGTGAATTATTTTATTTACGTAAATGTTAAGGTAAATTTTGACGTTCACTAGTGTTGGTAATATGGCACCACTAGTTAATCATTGGTAATTCCTATAACAAATATTCCCCATGAAAACGTTACTCTATTGGAACTCGACAAACCATTTGTTAACGAGTTAGCAAGATATTGTACTAATATCGATAAAAATATTTATTAAGAAAGGAAACGAGATATGATCATACGCAACAAATAAACTTTTGTAGAATTTTGTTTGAGTCGAAATGATACAGTCGGTCACAAAATCATTCGCATTATCACTACTTTTTCCACGATCTTATTTTCCACGTTAATGCTAAATATGCGGAACTCAATATAGCAATACCCTAAGTTTATTCTAACACGACACGACGCAAATTTCCTATCCATTAAATGAACGTTTAAGAGACAAACTATAAAAATAAAATTCCACGTGCAGTCGTTGTACTTTTCTAACCGACTGTATATCGTCGTGACTGCCTGTACGATTCGAATACGAGGAACGTTTCATTTTCTAGGCGTACGTATTTAGCCATATCGGATAATGAGATCCTACGCCGCCATCCTTGGGGATTACGAGTAATATACGTTCGCCAGTAGTTACATCCTGGCGTCCAGGTTGGCAAAAGTTGCTCAACGTCGTTTTTCCTTTGTCCTCTTAATTCAATCCTTGCTCCGAACTAATTGATCGTGTAGGCTTTCTGATCAAGCATTGACCAAAAATGAGAGAAAAAATGGAAACACTGAGACGGGAAGAATAGAGAAGAAGAGGCCGATGAAATTTCTCTCTGCGGGTAATCATTCAGACTGGGACAGAATTTAAAAATTATAAGAAACAAATCCTTGCTCGCGAAGATACCTGCTAATGTACACAGACTCGCAGGATGTACGCCTAGAAAGATCTCTGAAGATGAAAAGTTCTCTTCTTTGCTTAACCTCCTTAACTTTTATAGACCAGGCCTCCCTCGAACTTTTATACTGCGATAACTTCTGCGTTTCACTCGTATATCGTGCAATTATTTTAGCCCTGTATATACGTATACAGGGCTGTGTATACGTATACACGACGAAGTATCGTTGGCGTTGGAAATTATTTTCGATGACACGGAAAAGCGTTTAAGGAAAAAGTTTCTTCGGCTACCGGTGGATGGTGGATGGCCGCGACAAGATTTTCACTTCGTGAAATTTCGAGATCGCTTTAGAATGCGTCGGAAGTGTCACGGAAGTATCGATTTCTCCGGGTACTTTAATGCTACAATTTCGAATATAAAATAGCTTTCATAATGTGCGCTAATGGAATTTTTCGCGTCCGTTGGAATATCGATGAATGAGGTATTAATAATTCGAAGGAAGTAAATTTGTGGTAGCTAATTTTCAAATTTCGGAACGATGGAGGACGATATTTTCGTCTCGGAGAAATAAATTTTGGCATGAGTTACAGAAATGATAGAAAATGTATAAATTTCATATATAGAAAAGTAAGCCTATAAAAATTGTAAATATTTCTCGAAGAAGGACGAATTAAAAATTTATATTTGTTGCGGATTGAATATTTATAACATTCATCAAAATTCAGCAAAACGTCTATTACCATATATTTTCAATTTACTTTGTCTAAATCTTGCCTGGACTGCTTGCAATTTAGCTCGAAATATTTAAATGTGATTAAGAATATGAAATTGAGAATACTCTACGATAGTTATTTTCCAACCAAATAAAATACGCGGATCCATTTCTAAACTGTATTTTCTCTTAACATCGTCGTACATCGAGTCAATGACTCCACGTTTGCGAAATAATTTTATCCTTGACAACGTCCTCGTGCAGCTAAAAATTGTAGGACGAACACGCGAACATATACATGTTTGAATCAACGTCGTTAGGCATTGCAGACTATGTAGAAACGCTCTTAAACCATTAATTTCACGGGTTTCCCTTAACTGTGGATTCGATAATGACACGTGGATTATAGGTATCACTTACCGCTACGTTGTTCAGGGTGAATGAGAGATGAGCTGGTGGCTTCGAGGGTGGTAAGCTACAATTTGCCCTCAAAGTGTCTCCGGCTTCGTAACGTTCGCGTTCCGATACGATAATGGGCGTGCCTTCGGGTAGAGCTGAAACATAATAATTCCATGGGTGTATCTCTTCGACTCATTGTCAACGGGTTGGCTGTTCATGTCTCGTTGAAACGATACGAACGTCGTCATCTAGCTATTTTCCCAGCACCTGGAGTACGTTTAGCGATATACGAGTGACAATCAGAGACAAATTAGGAAGACAGCTTCGTGAAATCAAAAATTTAATAACTATGTATTCTTATACTAATTTCGTGGAATTAAAAACTATATATTCTTATACTAACTTCGTGATAATTTTCTCGGAAAACTTCTTTCTCTTCTAGCAATTCGCTCTTCCAAATAATTTTTAATAATAGTTCATCTCGTTAAAATTAAAAAATGTACTGGAAAAGAAATCGGAATTAAATAGTTTTCGAGAATAATAGATCGCATTTTTAAATTTATTCCCCCGACATGATAAAAAGGGCAAATATATTTGCAGAAAAGTGGTAGCTTTTCTTCGCCACTATTTCTTCGCATCATAAACCATCTTTCTTGTGAAAGAGAATGAACTAAAAAGGGAGAAAAAATGTAAAGGAACGTTTCCCTTCGTTTTTTCATTTTCATTGTCGCGTACAATGCAATTCCTACTATTGTTTACATCAAGCTGTCCAAGAAAATTAAGCTTATCCTCACAATAGTATCTAGCGATGGTATCAGAAAAATTGGTTACCGCAAAAATTCGGAGAAGCTAATTTATACCGAGATACGTGAATCTCGAAATTGTTTTCTCTATTCCAGACGAATAACGAATTCGAAACAGAATTGGAAGATACAGTGGAAATGGGTTACGAGCCATTAAGAAGGATCGCGTGAGTTAAACGACGCGAAGATTCAAGATGGATTCATTGTTCGAGTGTTCGAAGTCACGCGCGTGAGGTCGGTAATTCGATTATTTAAACGATGGCAGACGGATTACGAAGATTAATGCGATTGGAACTCGAAACTGACTTACGTGTTCTGCTTAAAAAGTAACCAGATTGCTTGCTCTTGTAACTAATTGCTAAATTGCTATGACGCTAGCTATGACAAAGGAAAGGAATCAAATGGACTGTTCAGATCCTTGGATCTTATTGAAGTATGAATATTCAGATAATATATAATCAATTTAGTTGACTGAGTAATTAATATGCAAATACCATTTCCTTCGACGTGTCTGCTTTAATAATAAATATTCAGGTAAGAGAATTATAGTCATATTTTGACCTCCTTACTTATTGAATCTCAGTTTCTATTTGATTTTCCCCTCCGTTTAAAATTTGAAAGCAATTCCAAAGTATTGCCATCTTCATAAGATTGAAAATATTCGAAAGGCTACGTCTATTGAAATAAACGTTTTTAAGGCTGAAGATATCCGGCATTACTTCAAGAATTGAAAAGAGCGTTTCTGTCGGTGCATCCATTAGAGTCCTCAGAGAACCTACTTTGATGGTATTTATGTTGACTCTTAAATATGTGACTTCGTGAAATTTTCACGAATACAGTTTCTGTACTTTTGAATCCTACCACGTAGTATGTAGAGAAGAGAAGATGGCTGACGGAATTATTTTCTTTGGAACTAAAACTATGAAAGTGGTCACAGTGACTTTTTCCTAATATTTTATTTAAAGCATAGTTATATACAGTCATTTCTCGGTACCACTACAATTGTTACTTGTCTATAATATATTTAGTTACACATCAGAGGTTGGTATTTAATGCATTTTATGCTGCTTTGAACTTAAAAGTCTTTTACTCCATCTCCTCATCCTTGCATAGTACTTACAGCCTAATAATTCATCGTATTTTCAAAATATTCTGATCGAAACATATCGTTCCAATATCAGCTACGTATCAAATTATTCTCGCAACTATACTTGACTGATCCATAAAAGGTTCAAGATGAAATACTTAGACTATCCGCAGAAGAAAATCAAACCGACTATCTCGGATGATTACGAAGCTCAACTCGGAATCGTGCAGCGATTTTCTTGCCAGCGCATAACGGAATATGTCTGTGTAACGGGAGCAGAGGTCGCCACGGTTCGAATTCATCTCGTTCGCAGCGCCATTTTGTCGATTTAATTTAATAGACGAGGAGTCTCTCAACGGGTTAAACGAATCGTGTCGCAACAATCTCAGTTCTGTCACCGTGGGGAAGATTTTCTAGAACGAAAAAGAAGAGCATTTGCGGAGAATCTCGAATCGATTTGATTTGAAATAAACGAGACCTTTCGCGGTTCAACCGCATACATTCGACTTTCCATTAAGTATATTGGATTTTCGACCGCCATCGACAAATCTTTCGAGACAATCCGAATAATGGCATAAAGTAGGTCGTGGTATTGTTGCAAAATATTAACGATATAAGCTCTGCCCGAGCGAAAGAATAATGGGAATAACTCGAGCAGATCCATCGTGATAGCGAAACTGTAAATTGAACATTTGTGACAGGATCGTTAAGTTTTTCCATGAAAATATTTGAGCGATAGCGATGTCACAGTTGTTTTGAAAATTCTGACAATACTGTACAAATATGATATTAATCCTTTGCGAACGAATATCTCAATATATGCGACGTAACACTTTTATTTGTTAGATCAAATACAACGATAAGTATTTCCATTGTTTTCGTTATTTATATTAATGTTTTTTTTTATTTAAATAATTTCCCTCGGTTTGTTATTTCCAATGATTGTCTCTAATGATAATTCTCATTCGTAAGAGATCAACACGTTAATAACTGCTGGCATAATGCAAATAAAAATCTTTCCATGGCTACAATAAGATTAGAGTAATTTATTGTCAGTGATTCTAAAGAAAAGAAAATTTTTCGTATTTATATTTCACAATAATACTAGGTTATATAGAGCATAGCGTTTGAAAGGAAGTTTCAAAAATTCTGATTCTCGTCTTAATTGGAGTACCCCCGTTCAATTGATATTTTCCATTTCAGCATTTCATCAAATCTGTAAGATTAATTCCACGTTATTGGTTTATATATTTATACAGACCAGTGCAGGTAACTCCCATATAAAAGATTACTTCGATGTATTATGTTACATCGAAATTGTACCGAATAAAACATTCAACACTGATTAATGGAAACACGGCGTCAAGCAACGTTAATAACAGTGGCGACCAAATAATTCAGACAAAACCGTCTTCATTTAATTGAGTGCCGCAGCAATTTTCAGATCGCGTGACATAAAATCGTGTTAACCAAGATATATCTGCAGATGCTTAAAAAACCTCAAATCCAGGTTTTTTAAATAAATTAAGAATATTCCAAGAAAAAATTTCCGACGTCAAAAAAGGATGTTTATCGCAAATAAATATCTAAATAAATTAGCTATAAATTACAATTGGCTTGAACTCTCTGAATTCATTTCAAATTCGGTGCTTAACCTTCCATATTTAAAATCAATTTATATTTCTTGCTTACTGGAGTTGATCGATTTGGCAAATGAGTGTATAATATAGTTATCTTATCACGTACATGATTTTCCCAAGATACTGCCCTATCGCGACGTCTGGTCATCGTGGAAAGGAGAATTACTTGGAATTAATTGCAGGACACAAAATGGTGAAACATCGATGCAACTGGTTTTACCATGCTCTAATTGGTATCTCGTGACGTACACACCACTTGAACGAGCTGCAGCTAACGAGTAGCGAGTTTAAACCGGCTATTATCGCATTTAATTTTACAATCGAGCGAATCCACAACGCACGAAGATTGCCGTTATACCTCGCCACGGCTCTCACTTATCTGGCCATAGAGGAGACGGGGCTAGAGGGCCGAGCGACAGCTGAAACTAGAACCGATTACCGCGAAGTGAAGCGAGGGAAATAACCGTTTACCCTCTCACCTTGCTGGTGATAAACCGGTGATTCGCAAAACGATAGAACGACTAATCGAATTTCAGTTATGTTATCGTCTTCCGCCTATGAACGGTGTTCTAACTTGATTGCTCTATAGTTACCACCGGCCTGCCGCCGTTTTGTACAGGAACTGCAAACATGATTTCACATTTTCCAATACAGCCGAATTTCGGCAACAGAACGAGAGAGTAGAAAGGGGAACAGGATCGAATTGCTTCGAACGGATGAACTTTACCTGTTTCAGTTTAATATGTTTGGCTTCCCTGCATTTTGGTATCTTAATCTGCGTTTGAATGGCGAGTCGATACGAGAACATGATATGCGTTTGTGTTTGCGTTGGATAATGATAATGTGTGAATATTGAGGACATTGGGGTCAGGATAGCTGTATCTGAGGATACGAAGGCTATCGGTCCTAGCAAACCGTAGATACCGATTAACCCTTTGACATTGGAATTAATTAAAAAATTTACAGTAAGGAAAACATAGATGCGTGCAATCTTTTCCATTATTTGAAGTTATCCTGAATATGATAATAAGTACAACAAACATAAAATACATAACTGCACTTTAAAAGGTAGGGTATATGGCGTGCAAAAAGTTGTAAAATCAGGAATCGTTATTTTTAATAAATTTAAAATACATATAAGTAAGGAATATAATCATTTACTTATCTAAAAGGTAAAATATGAACACTGATAAAAAAAGAAATTTCTTGTAATTAAAAATATCTTCTCCAATTTTTTGAGTGAAAAGGGGATCTCTGTAAGTTAACCGAATAAAAGATACATTGGTACTATTACAATGATACTAAATATTTTAGTTAATTAAACAAATAATGCAATCTTCAAAACCATTATAAAAATGAATATGACTATAATTTATTGAATATCACGAGTATTGTTAACGAATCACTGTACGTTTAAACCAGAACTTTACAAGACTCCTCATCATAACGTTTCAGGCTTACAATCTCCTAAATCAACAGAGATTAATTTTTTTATTTCGCAGAAGAAAATCAAAGCAATGTATAAACGTTTGAACGCGTTTCCATTAATTCAAATTTTTTTCAGTAAAGGGGGAAATGAATACCGGGAATCAATTTTTTCACCGACGTAGCAATGAAACAGAGCA